CTGTGGTTTGGGTGGTGGGTTCTGTTCCGGTGCGAACCGTTTTGAAACCTGCCCCCACAAAAACCACAGACAATCATGCAAATCACGATTACGTGCAAGCTACGTATGCCATGTTTGAAACGGGAAGTTGCCCTGCATGTGCAACAGTGGCGAGACTCCGAGACTCAGTGCGAACGTGACACCAGGAAGTCCAATCTCAGCGACTGACTATTGGCGGTTTGACATCGAAAATTCGATCCTCTCCTCCGAAAACCGAGGACTGTCAAAAGGATCGTGGCCCCACCAGCTCCTCGTGGCTATTGTTGCAGACAGCCCTGGGGGCGGGGGGTAGCAGCCCGGGGCCCAAGACCATGTCCGTGTATGTGTGTATATATATATATCTACATATGTACGTATACAAAACATATGTTTATAATTACGTATACAAGACTGTGTCAGTAGATCACGACTCGAATCGAACCGCATGGAAACCCCACCCAAAGGAACCGCAAAGATTCAAGTCAGTTACCTATTTTCGAAACGAGTCATAAACTCCTGGCAGCAATATTTCAACCGTTGATCTTATTATGCAAAGCACCTCGCAGTGTACATATTCTGCGCGTGTCAGATGTGTCGTCCTGTGCGTCTTTCACTTCTATGCCGTAAGACGTCGTTCCAGTCTTCGTGTTGAGGACGTCTATACCCTTCAGACTCATTTGCCGCACCTCGGGTTCAACAGGTTTGACATCCGCTCTTTTGGACAGTACAAAGTACACAGTTTCTTCAAGATATCTTCCGAGCATCTCCAGTAGCCGACGTCCATGTGGTGTTGCCAGTGTCGCTGGTGCAGGTCGCCTGAAAGTTGACCTGCGACGAAGCCGAAGCCGCAGGAACCCATGGCCGGTAAGACTCTGGCCTCCATGTCGAATGCCAGCTTCTGATTGGTCGTTTGCACCTCGCGAGTGCTTTGAAATGCAGACCTTTGAGCAGACACGGCCATGGGCGTCCGGCAGATATGGACTCCAATCTGACATTGGACGCTTGAAAACTGGTCCTTGGTGCAAAGCTATGCCGACCCAGGATCTACGACTGAATTACGATGACTGAGTCTGAGCAGAATCCCTAAGCGACTTGCAGTGCAGCCATGTGTCTGAGTGATTTGGCAAGATGTGGGTGGGCTTATGGATGCTTCACCAACAGTGCAGAGTGCAATCGACACAACTCCCAAGGCCCGCCTCGTGTCAACAAATCTGTCGAGAAGTCAATGAGGCTTCAGTTGAGTTCAAAACACAACTATGCGATCATCGGCAACCAGTTCGCAGTTGCTACAAATGCGCCCAGGCACGCCATGGATATGAGTTTGCCAACGGCGGATTAACGAAGGGGTCCGTTCTAGTCTTGAGCTGAGAAAGAGAAGCGAGTCTGGCCACTTCCCCCAATTCTACCAGGTGCAGCTTGTGAACCAAGGCTGCTTATTTGGTAGGGTGATGGCCATAATGTGCGTTGTACGTTATGAAGGCCACCTCGACCTCGGATGCCGTTGAAGGGGTGATGATGCCGCATGATGCTCTTCAAAGCAGAGGATGCTGCTCGTTGTGTCTGCTCATCAAGCCAAGGATGTGGGCCTACCTTGAAAGGCAAGCAGCATGGGCTGGACAACGCACTGATTGCTGTCATGCTTTCTGCATGCTGCACACCTGCGCGTTGCACCACTGGCAAAGGCATGTCCTGAGCAGAATCGCGCTTGACCACACCCCGAGGAGCATCGGTAAAGCATCAGTGTTGTCAGTCGCCATGTTCAGGACGGCACCGGTTCTGCGCTCTGGCAGAGAAGCACCCATCCTCGCCAGGGCACATCAGGGCACCACTCAAGATTGGCAATGCGACGTGCTCGCCCCGATCCTCCATGTCGATCACGTGCTGAACCAAAGCTGATGTCCCTTCGACCTGTTGCTCTGAAGCAAAAAGAGGCTGACACGGGCACAGCCGGGCACAGCGGCCCACCTCGGGCAGAAACCACTCGACCCGCTGAGGTGCACTATTGAAGGCTTCCGTGGCCAGGAGGTCTGGCCTTCACTTAATACACGAGGTGCTGAAGCTTCCCACGTTTCGCTGTACTTCTTCAGTCAAGCCCACAAGCTGAAAAGCTAAGCCCGGCACGGCAGCTCGTATTCAGTGAAGTGCGTACATGGCTTGCCGATCCATGTCCTCTACGATTGCCGCTTCTCTTGCTACCACGCCCATAGCCACTGAAGGTGCACGTGCGCGACCAAAGCAGTGCACAGGCAGCCTGAATGTTGCTTCTTCACCGAAGTGCGTGCAGGTTGCCTTGTCGTCAGTGGAAACCTGCCGGGATCCCATGCAAGGATAGCGTAGGCACCTAGCTGAGGAAAGGCCTCCTGACGAAATCGCAGTCCTCCAATGATTCTGTTGTACCTGCCACAGATGTCTCACTGCGAGCCCGTTGCTGAACAGAATGCATTTGGTAATCTTGCCCAGCCTCAAGTAATCATTTTGCACAGGAGCAGGCTTTTCGTATCCAGGATATAACCATCGTTGAGGCAGAGCACTGACGTTGTAGCCCTGTCAGAAAGCATCAGAAAGCATAACATCTGACAGTGACTTGACTTGAAAAGCTTCTGGCTTGCGGCCCTGGCCTCTGGGACGGCCTCCGCCAGGCCCTCAGAGTAGAGGTAGGGCATTTCGGGGAAGACCAGCGGAAGAAGGCCCAACCGCCTGGGTGTCTCATCGCCGCAAATCACGATGCTACGTCCGATTCCCATGCTGGCCAGGTGCGTCCATGACCAGAAATCTGCGAAACTGTTCACGTCACCGATCACCTTGTTGCCGAAGTAGCCTTCCTGGCCGAGAGCCAGATTTGAACCGGCACCTTCGAGCCTAGGAAATCTTACAACACATCCGAGGCCAAGTGTCGAAAGCAAAATTTGCGTTCTCGGTAATGTCCGTCTCGATCGAATTTTCGACACTCATGACCTGATTGCATGCTGTCTGTGAGACTGGAGCCTGCGTGCAGCCGATGCAAGTAATCTTTGACCGCCGCAACATCTTGCGCCAAATACCCCAGTGCAAAGAAGGCCTCGGCATGCCGATACATGGCCAACTTCGAAAGCGCAAGCTCTGACAGAATTACAATGCGTTTTGATGTCTTTAGCAGGAGGGACAAACGAACTGGAGGGGCTGTGCCCCATGCTTTTACTGCCTAGATTCGCCAAGTCACAAATGATGCCAGGAAGACCACAGAGAAGGGCAGCTCCAAGCATGCCGCTTCTTTCTGCAACTCTTCTTTGATCCAATTGGCATAGATCTTCTCCTAAGATGCGATGGAACTGGATGTTGGCTTGTTGTCTCGGAAAGCCGAGGCTCCGCGACGCCGTCTTCTTCGATGGACTCAACCTTCACCGCCTTCTTCTTGTGGAAGCCTCGAGTCTGCGACTTTACGAAGTTGGCACATGTTGCGCCATAAAACAGAACTCAATCACTGTCTCCGCTTGGCAGCTGTTGACCCACAATGGGCTTTCCAGCAAGGACGGCTCGAAAGGTGAAGGCACCTCCCCTCGGTATCGGCGATCAAGTCTGAACTCTTGCGTATGTGGGTCATGCATGGCTGACACACGCTGACACCAAGTCACTGTGAGAGTCTTGGGCGTGCCAACTTGCCATTGCCCCATGGCCACAGCTCACGAGGAACAGTGTGCACAGGGTTCGGGCTGAGGTGCGTCAGCTACGGATGGTTGGTTGGTGGAGAACCAAAGTCCACACTAGACGCCTTAAGCCCAAAAGGTCGTAATAGTTGGTTCTAGAGTTTGGTTCTTCAGATGTCGTGCACACCTTAACCGAGCTATCTTCTAGCACTCAAAAATCGAAACATCAAATTCCTGAAAACCTCCCTGAAACTTTAAATTTGGGAGCCCGGAAAAGGGTATGCGAAAACCACGAAGTCAATGCTCGCCTCAGGACCTTTCTTCCGAGTCCAGAATTTGTGCATGGTGACTAAACACGACGCCCTTTGCTTCAATGTGCAAGCAAGTGGGTAAACCCGCCTTCCCTCCAGGCTTCCAGAACCCTTGTGTAGGCGTAAGCTGAGCAGCGACCAAGCCTGTGGCGAAACGGGGTGTGGAGCACAGAGAGTCGCAGACAGTCCAGCGGAGAGTAAGGATTTTGCGAAACAGCGACAATGCGTTGCGCGGCGATGCGCGGCGCAACGGCCTCCACTGTGCCGACCTTCCACCGCCCGACGGAGGAATGCATGCTTCCAAAGCTGAATCCCCCACGGCGGGTCCTCAGCCAACGACTCCCAAAACTTCCAGCACACGTGCTTTCTCCCCGGGCTGGGTGATCAAGCGGACAGAAAAGGGACGTGTAGGTCCCCGGAAGTCGCGTTTTCGAAAATAAATGGGGTGTATATCCGGGGAGACACCTGCCGAGGACACACGCCTGGGCGGCCAGAATCGAAAGCAATTGGGGAACCATGGCGAGCAGAATGGTGCACCAAGAGTGGCTCCCTGGCATGCTGAGAAGCGTGGTCGAGCTGGAACAAGTTCCTCCGCGAAGGATGGGCCTGGGGCAAGCGGTGAGCTCACAACGCTGCGGCCCACGCTGCGCCGGGGAGGCGCTCATATGGGCCCCGCCAGCAGACGCGGGGGTTTTCTCGAATGCCTTTGCAGCCAAATGCGATGCGACCCCAAAGTCATACTGGTAAACAGGGCCAACGACAAATCAAACTCTCTTGCTCCAGTTTGACCGCTACCTCGCCCACTGGGGATCTTCCAGTCTCGGAAGCATATGCCACAGTCTCTTCCCATGCCTGGAGCGACTTGGACTCGTCCTCGCCGGTCTCGGGAATGAGCTCCGTGTCGTCTGAGCGGGTCTCGTGGCTCTCTCCTGAGTCAGACCAGTGGCTGTGGGCCACCCATGGTGTCGCCAGCGGAGCGGACGAGGATGCCAGCACCCTGTTTGCCAGAGCCCCCTCCCAAACAGAAAACCCGTCGTGGAGTTTTTGACCGGCTCCATGGCCACATCCGCGGCGTCAAAAATCGTCTGGGCGAGGTGGGATTCCTGCGTTGAAGTCAGCACAGGCCCCGTTGCCGCCACTGCCTGATTGACGAGCCCTTTGGCTCTGCAGAGGCCATCGACATAGTTGCCTGCATAAGCTCCTGAGAAGCCTCTGTAGATCTTCCTCCAGCAGCTTCCCCAGCCTCTACAGTTCCAGGCAGTGCGCGATGAGATGGCATCCCACCACCCCAACCCAGCTTTCTCCAGGGTTCTTTTGGCTCGCAAGTTTCCTTGCACCCTCTTTGTAAGCTTCGACACCGCCAGCGCATGCTGTTGGGCCTGCTGCGAGGCTGTTCGATCGGCATCGGCGACTTCCACAGCCTGATGGACCGCAGCTTGATATCTGGCTGTCTTGGCTTGTAGAGCGCTTTGAGCTTCTTGAGGTGGATGCCACAATGGGAAGGTCGGCTGCTTCGGAGCCTGCTGTCTACCCACCGGTCGCGCACCTTTGCCCGCTGACTACTGTTTTCCGCTTTCTTGACCCTTCATTTTGGGTGCCGATCCGTGATGTGTCGGTGGGTTCGACGGATCCCTGCCTGTTGCCTTGGTCGGGCAAGGTCCTGGCGCACCTGTGCCAGGCCGGTGATCTGGCTCTGCGGCGCCTCGTTGCCTCCAGAATGGAAAAAACACAGCCAAGACTCTACAGAGTAACAAGGGCAGCACAACCGCCACCGACCATTAAGCAATCCCACGGCGAGGGAGGGAAAGCTATGCGCTGCAACTCGAGAGGCAAACAGCGCTGGGGCTTGGAAGTGCTATAAGGAAGACGCCACACGCCTAGAGGCGAAAGGCGCACCTAAGCTCGAGCCGAAACCCTGTCCAGAACTTGGTGGAAGTGGGTAAACCCGCCCTCTCCAGGCTTCGGGAATTCTTGCGAAGGCCAGCGGGCCCACACCGAAGCCCTCAGCCCTGAACCTAAAACACAAAGCCCTACCATTAAACCCGAACCCCAAACCTTGCACCGTCAAACCCTGCACCGTAGAACCTGAAACCCTAACTCCTGAACCCCTCTGTCTAAAGCCCAGCAGCTACGCCTCACTAAGCCATACTCCTGTAACCGTAGGCCCTAAACTCTAAAACCTGTGGAACCCTGACGGGACCTTTTCACCTTACCCTGAAGGTCCAAGTACCTGATTGTCATATACTCTCCCAAAGACTACTCGACAAAAGGTACTACCCTTGACCCAGGAACACAATTATTAAGAACTTTAGGGCCTTGGGGTCCTAAACCCTATAGAGCCCTAAACCCTAAACCCGGGTAACCAACTATCAGGTCCTTCAGGCCCTTAGGTTGAAGAATCCTAAGCCATGACGAGGCCTTGACCCTTAAACGGCAAAACAGCCCAATCTGGCTTGGGGCTTACGGTTTTTTTTTTTAATGTGCAATGCGGTTTAGGGCTTAGGGTTCCTGTAAGGCTCCCTTTAGGGCTCCTGCGTGAGTAAGTTTGCAATGCTTAAGAACTTAATATTAAGATCTTTGCCAGCAAACGCTGTGAATGCGTTCTGATAGATGACCGCGCCCTGGCTGTATCGGTCACTGCAGCATTTAAACTCAACACAAAGCCTGAGCCTCTTAACTTCTGCGCTTTTGCAACCACCCGAACTAAGGCGCAAGTTCGTGCCTGTCCAGCCAATGAACTGTTCACAAAAGCATATCGAGCAAATACCAATACTAGCCTGAATCGCCAGGTGTAGGTCGGATGTTCATTTCAGGAGTCGTTCTGACACTTCCAGCGCTGGTGGAGGCATGGACAGACAATGGAGACCCGAGGGGTGGGGGAAGAGGGAGGGGGGGGGGGGGCAGAAAGCCGCTGCCCTTGCCCCTCTCCCAGGCCCCACCACTCCCATCGCGCTTTTGGCTTTCGATGTTTTGATTCATTTTTGAGCTCCTCTTCCTCCTCCTCCTCCCTCTGTGCAGCAGTCTCGACCTCTTAGATGCCATCATGTTCTTGGGTATGTCTGCAAGCCTCATGTTCGATTTCTGTGTCTTGGCGCGTTCTCGACTCAATTGCTGAAATCAGATGTTCAGCAAGACATCGTGGTTTAAATGTGAATGTCATGGATTTTTCGGATTTTGAGGGGATGTTAGTTCGACGACAGGAAGAACAGGTCGGCATGTTCTCCTTTGAGGTCTGATGCTGCGCAGTTTTCACGCAGAGTTCGTGACAAGGAGAAGACTATAGGCAACAATGCCAGATTCGTCAGCAGCATTTGCGGATCATGCCGGATCCACAGCTGCCTTGAGCTCGCTTTTTTGATTCGGATGGAAGCGACACTTCGCTTCCAGAATCCAAGACGCACCCAAGAGCTCTCCTAGCGTACCCATTCGCTCTCAGCGCTGCTCTTCTTGTGGGGGTACTTGTTGAATGCCACCTCGGCACACAAGGTAGCCTTGCAAGGGCACTTCTTCTTCGAAACATCGCACCAGGAGCTCTGGGCTCTCGGCCTCCCAAGCCTGGGCACCTTTGCACAGCGTGAGGAGGAGCGAGGCCAGCTCGCTGAGGGGCAACCTCTCCCAGCAAGCAACGAAAGAGCAAGGGGGAGGGAGAAAGGAGGCAGAAGGGAGGCGGAGGCAGGGTGGCAAAGCTGACAGGCTTAAGACATCTGGTAGGACTGGAAGGCCTGATCTGCCACATGGTGTCCCGCTCCCTGACAGTCACGGTGCGGTCCTTCGGAGCAGGCCCCATGGATGTCGCAAGTTCTATGATTCTGCGCAAAACCCCTAATTTAAGACTCGTTAGACCTTGTCATGCTCCATGCTCCACGCTCCTTTTGCAAGCCGTGCTTGGCGTGTGTCTTGCTTTACCGTCACAGCATGCTCGCCCATGGTGGTGCTTTGCACTCGCACCGATAGAATGCCCGTGCCGCCATGAACATTAGAAGCCTCGTCTGAGGCTTCCATCCAACATGGCAACTAAACAGTTCAAGAGCACAGACCAAGGCTGCCAGCGTGAGTCTGGCAAGCTGTGCATAACAAAATGACATTTGCTAGCCTGAATTCTGAAAAAGTGGGCATCGTCAAGCCACCAAGCTGCAAGGGGTGCTGGGCACCGCTTCCGCCTCCCGAAGGCAGCTACGGAGCGCAGATTGATTTATGTCAGCATCCGCTACAGCACTTGAGCATGGACGTAGTATGGCAGCAGCCTGCTAACTGCCGGGTGTTCCAATTCAAGAAACCTATTATTTCAGATCGGTGTTGCCACGTGCATTGAACCCATTGCCAACCATCCCAGCAGTCAAATGCTGCCCATTTCTGCTTTCGCACGCAAGTGTACAAGGTATTTCGACTTGGCCTGGAAGTGCATGCTGAGTCAGAAGCCCGGGAGCAAGGGCTTGGAAACCAAAGACAGCACACATTGGCGACGTTAGGAGCAAAGCTTGCCCGGTGCCTAGAGCCTATGCCGGTCTGGATTCTTCTACGTTGAGATCTATTCTCGGAAGAGGGAGAGCTCGGAGAGCGCCTCAAGAGACAGTGTCATTGCAACTGCGAAAGACACAAACAATTATGCTCCTCAAGCGACAGGAATTTGTCCGCGCCTCCGTTAGCCACTTCCCAAGAGAAGCTCCCGCTCGGCACGTTCGAAGGCCGCCAGGCTGGTGCTCAGGCTTTCGATTTGCTGCCGCAGGGATACTTGCATGTTCCTCGGCTCCGCTCCATCGCGAAGACCACAACAGACCCTCTCCAAGGCCAGGCACCGAACATGAAGGAGTTCGGCACGCTGGCCAGGGCTGAGATGCTTTTCCTGCAAGTTGACTTGAGGGCCGGAGGCATGGAGAACGAAAGCTCGGTGGCTTTTATTTCCGGTAGATGTCGCCCCGGCAGGGCAACGGCTCTTATCCTTGGGAGTACAGTACTAGTAGCAGTAGCAGTAGCAGCAGTGATAGCAGTGGTAGCAGTGGTAGCAGTGGTGGCAGTAGCAGTAGCAGTAGCAGTAGTAGTAGCAATAGTAGTGGTAGTAGTAGCAGTTGCAGTTGCAGT